ACACCCATGTGAAATATCCACATTGACCCTGCGTGAGCGTGGCTTCCCACTGCGTGTGCCGTGGTGGCAGCATTCGAGTGCTCTTATTTCTTGCAAGAGCATTGCACCCAAGTACATAGGATGGTTGGAAGTAATTACACTGCTCCATACGCTTTTGCATATTGTGATTGATGCAAGGGGTGCACAGAGGAATCCTCAATGAACACATTTCATGAAACTAGTCAGTTCAGGACTCTTGTATTAAATGATCCCTTTCAGAATATAGGTGGGACAGCAGTGAGGTGATGTCCTGTCAGGTTCTAAATTATGGGATGTGGTGTCCTTTCTACAGGAGTGCAGAGACTGATTTCTCCTCTACCTCGGTCTCCTCAGGCTCTGCATTGTATTTTGGCTTAAAGAGTTAGGTTGGATTCAAGTGGTCAGGGAAGATGAAAAACACCTGTTTCCTTCATGCTCAGAAAATCCATTGCAACTGTGTAACTCAGAGGCTTCTGCTGAGCCACATGTGTAAAGTAAGTGGAGAAGTGGTTTCTCACTGGTTCAATAGTCAGAAACTGAAGACCCTTGGTCTGAACATAAAATTCATACCTGTGAAAAAGCGTGATGTACAGGCTATGGTCGCCTACGTGAATTGTGTGTGGATATCTACCCCTAACATGGAGTCCTGGTTGTAGCACTGTGGGCTAAAGCGTTGGCGCGAAAGGTTGATTTGAACCACAAGGTCGGCAGTTCAAACCCACCAGCTGCTCCTCAGAAACCTTATACAGGGTCATTATGAGTCGAAATTACTTGGCAGCACATTAATAGCAAATATTAGGATTTGTTGTTAAGTGCCATTAAGTCAATTCTGACTCATAGTGACTCTGTATAGGGTTTCCAAGGAGCAGCTGGTGAGTTTGAAAACACCAACCTTTTGGTTAGCAGTGCAGTGCTTATCCTATAATGCCACACCAGGACTCCTCCTAATGCATACACCTGCACTTATTTTTAAGTGTTTTGATTTTCAGAAGTGAAGTCTGCTGGTGGATGAATGATTCTTTCAGATCCACAGCAACCAAAGAAGTGGTTTTATCGAATTTCTCCTGTGTATGCAAGTACACTAGTTGTTACAGCAGCGCTGAATAACATCTTGCTATGCTATTGTGAATGAATGACACACGGGACAGGATTCAAGGCCCAGAGACATAAATCAGTGGCATAAGGGCAATGTTTTACAGGGGGTTCTTATTGGATCAGGCTCCTCATCCAAAATCCTCAAACTCTTCCTCTTCGGAAAGGGGCTGAATCCCATTTTAATAGGAGTGTCGGGAGGAAGTTTCATTTATATCTGTGCATAACCTAGCTACTTGTTGACCAAGAGGCTCTTACAGAGCCCTGACCTAGATTCAGGGTTTGTCTCTTGGCAGCACCTCTTGCAAAGCTGGGGGAAAGGCCGCGTGGTGTGCATGATTCTGTCACATCACTGCTGGGTGCAGCCACTAGAGAGAGTCATTGGAGCCAGGATTGCCTCTACAGCCTCCTCTCTGTCTGCCTTCCCACCATTTCCTCAGGGTGACAAGTTACTTTGCAATTCACCTAGCCATAGCAAAGCTTTAGAGTTGGTTGGTTCCATTTTTTTATCCCTTTCCTGTCACGCATCCACATACAGTGGCTTTACTAAAAAGGAACACAGTGTCTCCCAATTCTGAGCCCTTCAAATAGACAAATGATACTGGTCAAAGCTTTCAGCCAACTTCTATCTAGAACCTAAGAAAGTGACCCTTCCCCTCACTCTAAAAGCCAGTGGTTTTGTTTGGACTGTGTACCTGCTTCAACAGCATTCTGTGTATGTCCTCAAACTGGGAGCTAAGCACACCACATCCTATATTGTACAAGAGGAGAAGAAATCAATCACTCTCCCAACAATTCTACATCAAGACAAAATAGAACTGGTAACTCTCCACTGTACATTAACTCTCAATATTTCCCTCTTCATGTCAACAAATCTCTTGTAAGATGCTTTATCCTCAGACTTTTATGGAAATGAATGCTGGACACTTACTATTTGCTGTAAAGTAAGTAATGTAAGCATATGTCTTCATACTGACATCTCTGAAGAGTCTCATGCTTCCAAGTCAGTCAGTCCAACACCCTCAGTCATTATTGGAATTTTTCTAAAATACAAGAATGCAAGTTTGATCATGACTGTCTGCCCTCTGCAGCTCCAAACCCTTCACATGTTAAAGTCTAGCTTCTCTGCACTTTATGAAAATTTCTTTATGACTCAGCTCTACCCATGTCCAAAGCAAACTACCACCCTCTCTTACATAGCATGCTCTGGCAACACAGAATTGCTCTGTGGAGCATTTCATGCTTCCCTGCCTTAGCACATGTTCTTCCCTCATCTTGGAATGGCCTTCCAAACCTTCATTCTCTGACAAACTCCTCTTTGTTTTAAAAACATAGTCATCATTTATTTTGGGAAGATTTCTCTGGCCATGAAGACATTTATCTGTGGGCTCCTTATGCCATCTCTGTATCCTGCAGCTCTTTTGTGATTTGTCTACATGCCTTCTATTCTTATGAACTTCTTGAAGGTTGACACTTGTGTCCTAGCCTCACATTTGGCCCACTAGCCAAACTCAACACAAACTTTTTGAAAGCATGAGTAGCGAACAACTTGATAAATTAAGATGAGCCCATGACATAAATTCCAGCCCAAACAAGGTGCTGGCATTTTCACCTCGATGAGGTCTCACTGCTACTAAGGAAATAGAATCTGTTGACACCCAGAGCCAGTCAATCAACGTCATTTCTGAACTACAACCACTTAAATACAAAACTCTGCAACAGGGATTGTGTCCACACCACACTTCCACAACACAGCCTGCCACTATTCTAGTCACAATGACTGTTTCCTTTTTAAGTCAGCAAAATGTCTGACACTTAATGGATGCTTAACAAATACTTTGAAATGATGAATGAATATATCGGAAGTCTATTTTTTAAAAGAAGGCATCAGGATTGGCTTTTAAAGGCATTTCCCATACTTCAGGCTTCTCGGAGGCACTGGTGCTCCTGACCATGGGTCTGTTCCATTAGGAAGTGGGACAGAGAGAAAGGAGGCCTGGGAAAGTTAGGTACCCATGCTAGAGAGAGAGAGAGAGAGAGTACTGGGTTTTCCTTCCTCATGTGTCAGTTTCCTTTCTTTTCAAGGAAGAACCCAACTACAGGTGATATTTCTGGCCCTAGTCAGAGGCTCTTGCCACTCCTGTGACCGAGGGCCACACTGGCATCACCACATCCACCTAACCAGAAACTCAGCACGCACCGATGAGGGCAAGCACAGGTAGTAACCTCCTCCATTCTAAGGGAACTGAAGACCAGCCTGAAATAGGTCCTGGACTAAAACAACCACCCTTGGAGACTAAAATTTTCTGATCACTACAGCTGTTGAAAGTAAGAGTTCTGGACTTAGTCTGATCTGGGTTCCAATCCAGACTCTGGCTCTTACTAGCCGAAATCACCTGGAACAAGTCACGTCTCCTTTGGGACCTCCGTTTACTTACTCATTACATGAGAATCATTGCCCCACTTCACAGGAACAATGGGAGGGTTAAGAGAGAAATTGTATGTAAAGCCCACATGGTGCCTATATATAGCAAATGTCCAAAACATGGAAAACGATGATGAAGAGCTTTCAAACATATTTTACATTACCCAGAACAAAAGGGAAAAAAATATTTTTTTGATGACACTGTGCTTTAAAGAGAATGGATTGTCTAAGTTTTAGGAGCTAACAGTGCTCATTGATCGATGTCTGTGGAGAACTATGAAAAGAGAACTGGCATTTAAAACAGAAGCTGCGGATGCTCCCAGGCCCCAGGATGGACAGAGAGTGACCGGGCCAAGGATACCCAAACCTTTCTCTAATAGTTGGCCCTAAAAGATTACTTCTAAAGCGCTTGTCTCTGGTCCTCCTTGGCTGGACCCAGAGTGAAAGTCAAAACCCCACAGGAGACAAGGACTAGCCAAGGGCAGGAAAACACCAGTTCTGGTCAGGGAGCAAATGGTCTGAGTTTGAGGGCAGGTCTGGGGACACCTGCCTGTAGGATAGAAGCAAGGCAGGCATGGAAAGTCATATCGCTCCATGTCATGCAAAAACTAGAAAAAAGTAGCATTCTCACGCCTTTCTGATGCTCCTTGTACACCCTAAATCTCTCCAAAGTTATGCGCTGAGCATAAGACAACTTTTTTCTACGATAAATTTGGTTTTACTTTTGAAGTGTTTGAGATGCACAATCTGAGTGCATTAAGTTCCTACATTCCTGCCCTTTTACATCAATTAAGCCACATCCAGTCCTAAGTCTGACACGGCTGTTCCTTATGTCTGCCAACTCATATAAATTTCACCTGTCATTCAAGAGGTTCCATGAAGAAAGCTCAGGGTAAGTGGTTGGGGAAGTGCAAGCCATCAGCCCTCAGGAGCAAAGATTAACTTCTGTGGTAGGGTTCAATTTGTATGGTTACTCTGAGCAACAGGGAAGGTCTCTAAATGGAAAAGAGAAGAAAGACTTCTAAACATAGTGACCTCTCAATCAGCTGGAGATCCAATTCTCTTAAAGTGAACCAACTGCTCTGATTTAGCCTAAGCCTGTGAGAGCTTGGGACCCACTCTGGCCTTCATGCCCTCGGCTCAGATGGATGGGCAACTTCCTCAAAAAGGCGGCCCGTAATTAGGCAGTGTTATGTACTGGAGAGAGCACTGGACTGGGAGCCAGGAGGCCTGAATTCTAGTGCAGGCTCTGTCACTGACCTTGGGCGACCTTGGGCATGTCACCTGATTTCTCTGGGGCAATTGTAAAATGAGGGACTGGCCGGGTGATCTCTAAGTTCCCTCTCAGAATGTGATCCAGGGTCCTATTTTATCCCACCTGGCCCTGGGCTTCCAGGGACAGAGATGGGAGAAGGGGAAGGGAAGGAGAGAGAGAATGAAGATGAGAGCCCATGGGTGCCCCGAATCAGGACTCCACTTTCTCCTTCTTTTTGCTCTTTTTCAGGAAAGATGGGGTTCGGAATTTCTTTTTCTTCTTTGAGGGAGACTTGGAAGGTGAACCCTCTGGAGACATGGGGCCGCTGGTGACTGACTCAGTTTTGTCCTTGGAGGGATCGACATCGGTGTCTGCGTTGGTGGTCATCTGGCTCAAGCCTTTGCTGAGGATTTCCTCCGCAGTCTGCTCGTCCTCCCTCCCATTGACCACCACCTCTTCTGGCTGGGGTTTTTTGGGCTCTGTCGGGGATTTGCTTGTTTCTGTCTTCTTAGTACCTTTTAGAAAAATATGAAAAGACAAGTCCCATAAATAAGATTTCATTCAGATGAGAGTTCTGCTCTGAGGTTAACAGAACTATTTCTAGGCAATTCTGTAAAGTAAGTTTATAGTCACAGGAAGGGCAGACGGATGCTGTAGCGAGCTGGGGCCGAGCAGGGCTCTCAAGGACAGTTGGAAGGACTGGGTGCTCATCCAAGGCCTGCAGCCCCTTCCACGTGGCCTGCCCTGTAGAACAGGCCCTTGGCTGGTCAGTATCTTTGGGTTCTTGTCTACAAATTGAAACAGATATTGATGTCTGAACATGGCAGAGGGCCTAACTGGGGCCCAGCTCAGAGCTTCTTTGGCATCAAAACAGGGGCGGAGAGAGGCTGCAGGAAAGGAGAGAATGTCATAGACATTTCAAAGGAGGGATCAAAGAACTATTCCGTTTTACCAATGAAAATGTGGAAAGTACATGTTTCCTACACAGGGGAGAGGCTTTTGTAAATATGGTGGACATCTCCCAAGCAGGCAGATATAAGGATTAACCAAACAGGGAAGACCCCAGTTGGCCCATTCTGGCAGCAACCCCATTACCCTGCAGTCTTCATTCCACCCTGGAGGAGACCTGTTAGGATGACCACCATGTGCAGGTCCAGACTGCTCAGGACCAGGAAATGCAAACCTCCTTTATCGCCTTCCCACTTTCACCCCGCTCTGCTTCCACTCAAACTTTGAAATGTCTTGTGGGGAGGGGGGAAGGGGAAATTATAAAATTATAGATTTAGAAAAGTAGAAAGGAATGTAAAGATCACATAGCTCGTCCCCTCATTTTACAGATCTGGGTAGACTTCGGGTATACATGCCCATCTTCTAGTCCACTGTTGTTCTTGTGGAATGCATGTGTGTGTATGGGTGTGCATTTGTGCATGTGTGTGTGAGAGATTACATCACAGAAAGAAACCCTGGCACACTTCACTATACAGAAATATGAATCATGGGGGAAGGCAAAGGGCTAATTACAGAAGAAATGGACAAAGGTAAGTGTTAGGAAAAGGCCAGGGCTCTTAACCAGGATGCAGACTGAAAAAAATGGCTATGTGGAAGATGGGACAGAAAAAGCTGGAGACAGAATGGACAAGCTCTCCTTACAGTGAGGTCTTGTGGACCTTCAGAAGTGGCCTAAAGCAAGTCAACAACTTCTCCCAAATAACAATCGAAGACTAGCTCCCTCTTAGCACTTTTGGCCTCTGGTTCCTATTCTTTCCACTGCCATGACCTGTCATCATTCAGAAACTCAGTCTCAAAGTTCTCAAAGCTTCAAGTTCAATGTCCTTCATCCCATTCCCATGTACTCCTGGGCCACCACCTGGCTGTGGTCTTGAATGCAGTAAGCCAGTCTGATCACAGCCTTCCACCCTCCTCTTCCGACTTCACCTGCTATTTGGCCTCAGTAATCCCCTGGTCCCTGCATCCTTCCCCAGCTGGCTTCTCTGTCTGGAAAGCCCTTCTCTCTCCTTTGTGATCCCAACTCTCACCTGATCTTTCCTGATCTTCCCTCTCCACTTCCACATCACTCCTTCTTTTCTGCCCCTACTATATAAACTTCCATTATAGCTACTGTAAAGCTATCAAACATGTATTATACATGCCAGTCTCCTGATGTGGCACTGTCGAAAAACCACTGGCTTGCTAATCTCTAGGTCAGTGGTTCAAACCCAACACTCACTCCTTGGTCACTATGAATCAGAACCAACCAACACAACAGCACTTAACAGCAAAAAAATCTCCCCCAAATGTTTTTGCAAGACCACTAATCTAAATGTGAAATTTCTAGGGATTTGGTAATGATGAACTTGCAGAGATATTCCTACCAAAGTGAATAAACTCTTGTATTTGGCCCAACACCTGGTGGGCCTCTTTGGATTTTGGAGGCAATATATTCCTCATTTGGGTATGATACCACTGCCTATTCCAGCACTCATCTGTCAGTTTGTCATACTGTGGTGGCTTGTGTGTTGCTGTGATTCTGGAATCTATGCCACAGGTATTTTGAATGCCAGTAGGGTCACCCAGGGTGGCCAAGTTTCAGATGAGCTTCCAGACAAAGACAGACTAGAAAGAAGGAGAGATGGACTACTTCCAAATATGTAGTCACTGAAAACCTTATAAATAATAGTGGAACATTGTCAGCATCAGATTATTGAATATTGAAACATGATAAGGAACAACAGAATAATGTCAGATATCATGCAGGAAGCTGAGCCCCTCAGGTTGGAAGGCACTCAAAATATGACTGTGGAAGAGCTGCCTCCTCAAAGTAGAGTTAAGCATGATGATGTGAATGGAGTAAAGCTTTCGGAACCTTCATTTGCTAATGGGGAACAATGAAGAGAATTATTTGTAACCATTCATTAATAACAGGAACATGGAATGTCTGAAGTATGAATCTAGAAAAATTGGCTATTGCCAAAAATGAAATGGAACACATAAACATTGATATCCTAGGCATTAGTGAACTGAAATGGACTGGTATTGGCCATTTTGAATCTAACAATCACATCATTTACTATGCCAGGAAGGACAAATCTAAGAGGAATAGTGTCACATTCATCATCAAAAAGAACATATCAAGATCAGTCATGAAGTACAATGCTATCTGTGATGGGGTAATATCCACATACCTATAAGGAATACCAATTAATACCACTATTATTCAAATTTACACATCAATCACGAAAGCCAGTGATGATAAAACTGAAGAATTCCACCAACTTCTTCAGTCTGAAAATGATCAAACATGCAATGAAGATGTATTGATAATTACTGGTGATTGGAATACAAAACATGGAAACAAAGAGGAAGGATCAGTAGTTGGAAAATACAGCCTTGGTGATAGAAATGATGCTGGAGATCACATGATAGTATTTTGCAAGACCAATGACTTCTTCACGGTAAATACCTTTTTAAACAACATAAAAGAGGACTCACCAGGTGGAATACACAGAAGCCAAACTGACTACATCTGTGGATGGTGGGAAAGTTCCAAATCATCAGTCAAAACAAGGCTAGGGAAGACTGTGGAACATAATATCAATTGCTCATATGCAAATTCAGGCGGAAGCTGAAGAAAATGAAAACAAGTCCACAAGAGCCAAAGTATGACCCTGAATATATTCCACCTGAATTTAGAGATCATCTGACCAACAGATTTGATACATTAAACAGTAGAGATCGAAGACCAGAAGAAAGCAAAAGGTCATTACAAGACAAGAAAGAAGGAAAACACCAAAATGGATATCAGAAGAGACGCTGAAAATTGCTCTCCAGCGTAGAGATGTTAAAGCACCTGGGAGAAGTAAGGAGGTACAAAAGCTGAACAGAAAATTTCAAAGGTCAGCTCAAGAAGACAAAGTCATATAATGAAATGTGCAAAGACCTGGTGTTAGAAAACCAAAAGGAAAGAATGTGCTCAGCATTTCTCAAGCTGGGAGGAACTGAAACAAAAATTCAAGCCTCAACTTGTGGTATTGAAGGATTCTCCAGTCAAATTATTTAAACTAATCATGCTCTTTCTCCAGCCACTCTTGTCATTGTCCAGTTGGCTCATGAACAAAGTGGTGGCAGGGATGGAGGTTAAGCATGGGCTCAGCAGCATGGGTTTCTAACTCACCAGGGCTGACTTGGCTACAGTCATTACTGAGTGCCTAATCTGCCAGATGCAAAAACCAACACTGAGTTCCAGATATGGTACCAGTCCTCAGGGAGATCAGCCAGAGCTACCTGGTGGCAGGTTGATTACATCTGACCACTCCCAGCATGGAAAGAGCAGCATTTTGTTCTTACTGGACTAGACACTTACTCTGGATATGGACTTTTCTTCTCTGCATGCACTGCTTCTGCCCAAACTACCATCTGTAGACTTACAGAATGCCTTATTTGCCACCATGGAATCCTACAAAGCATTGCCTTGGATCAAGTGAGCCACTTTACAGCAAATGAAGTGCAGCAATGTACCCATACTCATGGAATTTACTAGTGTTACCATGTTTCTCATCATCCTGAAGGAGCTGGCTTGATTGAACAATGGAATGACCTTCTAAAGACACAATTATAGCACCAGCTTAGTGGCACTACCTTGCAGGGTTGGGACAGTGTTCTCCAGGAGGCTGTATATGCTCTAAACCAGTGTCCAATATGTGGTGCTGCTTCTCCAACAGCCAGGATTCATGGGTCCAGGAACCAACGGGTAGAAATGGGAGTGGCACCAATCACTATTACTCCTAGTAACCCATTTGTAAAATGTTTGCTTCTGGTCCCTATGGCCCTATGCTCTCCTAATCTGGACATTTTAGTTCCAAAGGGAAGAATACTCCCACCTGGAGACACAGCACTGATTCCATTGAACTGGAAGTTAAGAATGCCCCCTGGCTATTCTGAGCTCCTCATGCCTCTTGATTAACAGGCAAAGAAGGGAGTTACTGTATTGAGTGGTGTGATTGTCCTGATTACTTAGGAGAAATTGGATTGACATTACATAATGGAGGTACAGAAGAAGATGTGTGGAATCCAGGAGATTCCTTAGGCTGTCTTTCAGTATTACACGCCCTACGATCAAAATCAACAGTAAAGTACAGCAACCCAATCCCAACATGACTTCTAATGGCCCAGGCCCTTCAGGAATAAAGGTCTGAGTTTCCCCACCAGATAAAGTATCATGACCAGCTGAGGTGCTTGCTGAGGGCAAAGGAAATATGAAATGGGTAGTGGAAGAAGGTAGTTCTAAATACCAATTACAGCAAGCCAAGCCACATGACCAGTTATACAAAAATTAGAACTGTAATTGTTATGCATATATATATATATATATATATTTTGTATGTATGCATCGAATATTTTTGCTTTGCTCATTTGTGAAATATAAGCTGTGAATGGGTCCGTGTGCTTTCAGTTGTATGCATCTTAGCTGTATCACGTTAGACGCAATTATGACAATTGTCTTTATTTAGTGATTATG